CAAAACCAACGCCAAACTTTCGCGAAAGGCACATTTAGCATGCAGTTGTCGTTTTATATAAATTATGCCACAAGGGGCTTTAGATCAACTACCATATATATATATATACATATATATATGTATATAGTATAAATTGTTATATCCTTCACTGAAACTGTCTGAATCTATCGGAATCTCTATAATCTATCTACCTATCCATCCATCCGCATATCTGTCTGTGAGTTCCCAGCTCCTGAAACCAAAGCAGCAGACTGAGGTCTGCACGATGCTTCCAACGGGCGAGGTTGCCACCTGGCGCTTGGCCGTAAAAACATGCTGATGCTTTGCAGCTTAGGGTTCAGAGGATGTGATTCCGGTTGTTCAGGGTCTAGGGAGTTGCGCTCTCATGTCTACTTGCCTACCATGCCATGCCGCTGGAATCTGTTGCAGGATGCCAGCACGGAAATCGCGGAGCAGAGCAGGCACCCTGTAAACCAAGCTGGCTTGCCACGTTGACCGGGCCCTGTACGCAGAGTTCTCCTCCCTGGCAGGATGTTTGGAGCCAGCTGGAAGTATGGAACTCTCCAAACGTTACAGTTTCCTGCTGCTGAAATTTGGGTGCACACCGCAGCGAGCTCTGCCAGACGTGGCCTGCTTCACCGGGCCCCACATCACAGGCCCTCCGAAGCGAGTACCTGAGGGTCAGCGGCTCTGCGGAGTGCTTGGGCGGCGAGGTAGCAAAAATCGCCACTTTCTCTTTGGACTATAACCCTCGACCTTCAAACCCAGAAATCCAGATGCACACTCACAGAAACAAAAGACAGCAGTGCAACGCCAACGTCGGTTGCTTTCGGCAAGTCGCAGGCATTGGCCAGTGGATTGCCCGCGCCGACCTCGTCCAGCTCAAGGCTCAGGGGCTCAGCGAAGAGGGCGTTGACAATGGCTAGTTAGGAGATGTTAGTTTCGACTTTCAGGTCCAAGATCATGCTCGAGGCGCCGGTAGAGGCTTTCCTGGTCCTGCATCTCATACCCCCGACCGGCGAAACCCGTCCGTTCTGGGCCGCCCCAGCGAGGCTTTCTAGCTGCTCCGCACCACTGCCGATCACGGAAACCGGCAGCCTGAGTTTGCGGACATCGCTGGTCGTCTTGAATTTCAATGCTTTGCCTTTTCGAGGAGACTTTGACAAGTTTAGGGACGCTTCTGAAAGCTTGGGTTTGGCCTCTACTGGCTTGAAGGCTTTTTTCCGTCAACGTAAGAAGCTTGCTGAAACCAATTGAAGCAGCAGGATGAAGAGAAGTCGGTGCAAGCGCATGGCGTGGCAGGCGGCGGTGTCTTCAAACTCGGTTTCCCTTCTTACGGAGGGTCGCTCAGTGAAGGAGACGACCGTCTATCCAAGTCGTTGTGACGAGGCTTTTGCAGGCCCCTTCAGTCCAAGGGAAGTAGATCTCACAAAAGTCGACTGCATGGCTCCCGGCTCCGTTTGCAAACTGCTGAGCCAAGCAGGGAGAGCACATGGGGATCAACTCCACAGGGCACGTCGTTCAGAACGGTCAGGATTCGGACAGAGCCTTTTTTTAACTACTTCTCCTAGGCAACTTGTTGGGAAGGACAAGTGACAAGACCCCTAGTGGTCCTTACACCAAGCGGCCAATGGAACCTCGACCAACATCGCTGCGAACTGTTTGATGTCGGTGGTCAAAGCCGAAGGACCAGACTGATCCTGGCAGGGAAGGTCGGAAATAGCTGGGCTTTGTGAGGTTGTGATCCTACTCCAATAGGTACTTACGGCTCAAGGGCCTAGAGCCACATCCTCAACCACAAGACTTCGGGATCCGCCTGCATTGGACCCAACCTTGGTGGACGGGGCGACTGTCACGGTGGCCTGACAAATCGTACCAGAACCGCTAGTTGCTTTTATGTTATGCACGCGATGTGGCGAACACGGCAAGCTGTTGCCATGGATCCCCCAGAACAATCTTCCAGGCACAAGCCTTAGCATCGTTCTGTTGGTTTGGTGTATGGGATCCCTCCAACCCGCTATGAAAGCAGCTTCACCTGAGGACATCGCCGGGTATTCAGCACCACAGGGCGCTGGAACTCCTGGCGGGACAGGATCGACCGACCCTAAGACAAGTGCTCTGTTCCAATAGAATTCTGTGTTGGGCCGGGTTTAGAGTTTGTGGTTGTTGCCCCCTAAACCCTAAACCGCAGGGAGGTGCTAATGGTGTCTTCGCTCCGAAAGTACCAGTCACAAGGCATGTTCATCCTCCGACCACTAATTAAACTTCATCTGGGGATTGTCAGGCGTTTCGCGACATGGACTACTTGCCGAAGCTGTTTTTCCGACTATGGGTTCGTGGTTGGGGCGGGGGCGCGCATGCCCTGTATAACGCAACATTTCGACGCCGATTCAGACACAAATGGCTAAAAAAGGGTGCAAGACAAAGCTCTCGACGGTGGTGATTGGATGACACCCTCCCGAGACCAAAGAAGTCCCCGTTGACGGAGACACGCAGGACTCCGCATCCTTGGCCAGGAAGAGCTCCACGCAACACCAGGCCTCTGCTTGCGAAGACGCGGAGACAAGCGGCGCCTTTCCTTTTTCACCTCCCTTGACAGCTCCTGAAAGAAACCTCCCTCCCTCCTTGACTCCTCCTGCGCCGCATGAGCCACTCTGCGTCTCTCTGCGCCCGAGGTCCGAACTCGAAGGAGCGAACTGCCATCCAGGCCCGTGCCTGGAAGTGCTCGGGGAACGTTCGCTAATGACGCTGGTACAGGTAGTAGACTCTCAGCTTTTCCCAAATCTGGACATCACAGGCTCCCGACTCAGCAGCACGGTCTTGATGTTGCTCTTGGCCAGGGTCTCGTAGACTGGGAGATCCTGGCATTCTCGGGGGCTCTTTGGAGCTCAGAGCAAAGCAGGAGACCGCAGGAGAGGAGTCCTTGCAAAAGCCCCCTTTTGGGGAGCTCTGAGTCTCTGGGTCCAGGGACTCAGAAAAGAAGCACCGGAATGATCCGGGAAGGCTTTTTGCGCGACGGTGCCATGGAGGCTGCATTTTGCACCACGAGGGCTCGGTGCCATGACTCTGAAACCATCTCAAGCTCGAGCTGTGGATATCCTGGCTGGCACGAGGTCAGCAACAGGCCTCGAGGGATTTGCCCTTGTCGTCTGACCTCTGAAGGAACATCCGACTGCAGATGAGGGTTTTCCTGTGGTTCCGACATGTTTCCAACCCATAGACATTTGAGCCAGCGCAAAAGCCTTCACCGACTTTCTTGGATCGAACCAGGCAAACTTCCCCCTTTGACCAAACCAGCACGTCTTTGCTGAATCTTTGCACCTAAATTTCTCCTAGCACTGAGTTGCAGAGCCTGAGACTGCAACATGCACACGAGCAAGGTTTCATGTGTATCGCATCCTCTTCACTGCCGCATCCTTGCAAGCCGTATCATGCAAAATGTGCGGGCATCGGCCAGGCCTGCAGGAGTTGAATCTGTTGACTTACAGGCTTACATGATGAAACCAAGTCGCGACCCACGAAGCGAGGAGAGAAGCCCAATCCAGCCCAGCACTCTGGCAAGAACAATGACACTCCTGGGGTGCCGACCACATAGTGTCCGAGAAAGCGTGGATGAAAAAGCTGCAGCCACGGGCGTGCGTGGCAGCAGCATCCTGGCCAGTGTGCCGCGATTCAGGATCCCGGCTCTCTGGCACTTTCTGCTGGCCTAAGCCTACAGACTTTTCTGACTTGAGAGGCTCATGCAAGAACAGCGGCGAAGTCTCCTGAGGCAGCGCCGGAGACTCCCGAAATGTCAAGGAGACCTCAGCCATGGCAGCAATCCCTGAGACTGGGAGGTGGAGGAATGCGGCGCCTGAAGCAGGATCTCGTGGTGCAGATTGAGAAAGCTGCAAAGCATAGATGGCCCGTCCCATTATGCAACAACGCCGCTAAATGTATCCGTGGAGCTCGCCGATGCGAGTCACATGCGAAATGAGTTCAAGAAAGGGCATATCTTCGCGGCAGTCTGGCATGCCGAAACCGAGCGGGCGGCGGCGAAGCGAGTCAAACCTTGCCGGAGGCCACTGGAGCGGATTTCAAGTTCCAAGGCTTCTCGGACTTGCTTCTGGGTTCGAAAAAACGCTGAAAGCACTGCGTTGAACAGGGGAGCCGTCTTGCAGGAATCGCTTGAAACTGGATGGGCTAGAGCTCCTTTACTCTGAAGCCCAAGTCAGGACTTGGAAGATGGCTTACAGGCTCCGAAAAACACGCAGCACCCGGTCTCCTCAACTCGAACTCCAAAGCAGAGCGCCCGGGCCTTGGATGAACTCTCCGAAGTCTTCCGTCCAAGCGTGGCTGACGAAGATCTCCTGTTTGCTTCTCTGTCCAACAAAGGCTTCCTGCTTTTGGAAGCTTCGTGATCGTACGTCACCTTCTGCGGTGGTACCGGAACAAGTCAATTGACCACAAGAATTTCCAACAAAACTTCTGTTTTAGCACAGCTGCCTCAAGAGAACTGCTTGTCAACCCTTGATCAAAACGAGGCCAAGATGAGGGAGAGCATTTTCCAAGAGTTGCTGAGCTCACAGAAACGGAAACAACCTACATTGCCCTGAGGTGTACTGTTTCTGTGCTTCTCATGCTGCTTTTTCGATCTTGCAATTCGGGAAGGGCCCTTCACAGAAAGCCCTGCTTGACGATAGAAATGTCTTGAGACGCAAATTGCGCTTTGACGACCGATGCTAGACGGGCTTCTCGGGAGGTGCTCGCTGTGAACTTTGTTTGCCCGGCCGCTTCTGAAGGTGCCCCAAGCCGAAGCCACAAGGACTTGGGATCCCGACAGCATCCACCGGCTCCGTGCTCCAGAGCTCCGCCATGGAGCACCTTCGCTCCTCTGTCAGAGGCCTGGCACATCGTCTTGGGCGCTGGAGGCTATCGGGCCTGGGCTCCGGCTGCGGCGCAGCAAAGCATGACAGGGGCACCGAATGAAGAGCTTCTCCACCGCAAACACGTTCGGGACTCGGCATGGTGACCGCATCGCACAGGCTTCAACTTCACACTCCCACAAACCAAGCCTGGGCCTGGCCACAAACCAAGGAAAACGACCAAGCCCGAAACGCTGCGACCCGCAAGCCAAAGTCTGCAACCCTGTCTCTGGGGCACGAGCGCAAAGCCCTGAGCCTCTTCTTCGCAATCTCAGCCCGATTCCTAAAGTAAGTTCATGCTTTCTGTGTGCGTGACAGGGGGTTCGTAGTATACCCCGGCAAATACCTGCTTGGGGATGATGTGGAAGTGTGTCGCTTCTGACCTGAAGGTCTTTATAAAGGCCTGAAGTGAAGTCTCAAGTCTGGGTTCGGGGCTTAAGGGCTGCAGGACTCTTCCCGGCCAAAAGCGGCACCCCTTCAAGGTTCTCGTTCGAGCAATAAGACACAGATTCCGATGGGGTTTCGACTGTCCGTCAGCCCAAAAAGGGGGATCATCGCTCAGGGCTTCTAGGTATCAAGGCCTGAATCTGGTTTAGGGCTCAGGCCCTGCAGGGTCCTCACTTGAAGATTTGGACTGGACCCTTCTGGTGTGTTGCAACGCCGTGTCAATTGCAAAAGACCACAAAGGTGCAGCACCTTTTCGATCCTGAAAGGCCTCAAGCCCCTCATCCCAGTGATCCCGCGGGTGCGAAGCGGGGAGTTCAGCCGGGCCACTCTTGGTTCGTCTGATGGCATTTGCGATTAAGCTTGGTCGCGACGCACAGCGGTCTTCGCCAGTCGTCGTCGCTGCCAAAAACTCGGCTTGGCGACAGCAACCGCAGAGGTGAACAACATTCGTCAAGGACAACCAGGTGTGCAAAAGCAGATACCGCAATGAAGAACACGAGGAAGAAGCTGCACCCCAAGCTGAATTGGTGGCTGTCTGTGCGCTGCATCTTCGATCTCTTCAGCTATGTGAATCGCTGTGGGCGGGAGGAGGGAACTCTAGCCACTAAGCAGAAAGTTAAAGCCTCGCGCTTGAAGAGCCCGCGAAACCTCAACTCTCGCGATCCTCGGCAATGCAGCAGAGAAGCAGGATGGCTCGAAACTCACCTCGGCACGGCATCAGCACAAACATCGTGAAGCAAACTGAGTATTGGAGCTTCCAAGACTTGGGCAACCCAAGGGCTGCGAAGTATGCTTCATCTCTTCTACGAGTGCTTAGTCCGGCTTTGTGAACTCTTGCTGAGTGCCTCCCCGTCTGGAAGCCCCAACAACTCCAACTTGTGGAGACATGCCGAGCATCACAGCCGTGTTCTGCCAGGTACAGCTAGCTACTCCCCAAGACAGCAGCTCACCTGCCAAAACCTTGCCAGCAAGGCACCTCTCCGCAATTTTCTACGAAGAAATCGAGCAGGGAACCTTGGCATAATCACAGGCGCCGCGACTGGCATCACAATATCAAAAGCAGCGAGTTTCAGCCTGGGTTTCACCAGCATTTCGGCTGGTGGAGCGCATCCAACTGCAGAGTCCGGAGCAATCGAACAATGAGTTCGAGAAAGAACCCCAAGCACATTCCTTCTCTGAGCCAAGTCTTGATGACCAAAGCCTCAATCCTTGTAACCCCCAGCCCTGCACGTCTTGTGCCCTAAATGCTGAGTCCCACGTCCCCGGCCCTGAACATCCTAAGTCCAAACCTCCAGCTGCAAAATACAAAGCAAGTATACGCCGCGCGCTAAATCCTTATCGCAAGAGATCCCAAGTCAGAGGGCAAGGGGAAATTTGCGGAACGTATGAGGGTATACTGTATACGCTGGTCTGAGCCAGTATTATATAGGATGCACGGAAAACCACATCTGGAAAAAAACACGCATGGCAAGTGGCAGCAGTCCAGTCCATCCCAATAGCAGAACAGTGGTTTGAGTTCGGATTCCAATGGAAAATTCCGATGCTAAACTTGCAGGCCCTGTTCGGGCCTTTCGAGGGGCTCTGCGGCCAAGCTACCCAGTGTCACACCACGCTGCCATGCCTGAGGACAGTTTGGGGCTTGAGTCTGTGCATGGCCGATGATGGCTGATGTTTGAGTCCCCGCGCGCGCGCGCGCGCGCGCCGCATGTGCCCGGGTGCAGGTCTGAGCTCAGGATCTGATACGTCATGTTTGCTCGGCTTCTGCTCGCTGTGTAAGCAGGCACTTCCCTTCAGGCTTCAGGAGTCGGAACGACCATGAGCAAGGAAGCGACGGAAGGAGGAGAAGCTCACCAAGCCAGCCAGCCAGCCAGCCGGAAACCGACGACAAATTGAAACCGACGACAACAACTGCGCCACAGAAAGCGGCCTGTCATAACCTCCGCCACAAGAATAAACAAGGAAAACACTGTAATCCCGCTGACAGACTACCGGCCAGCCTCTTTGATGCGGCCGGGTGCATCGGGAGCGTATCGTCCCAGCGACGTGTCTACATCCTCCGGGTCTCTCCGAACCGACTTCACCCCAAACCCGCAAATCCCGATAAACATCAGCTGTGCACCCAAGGCAACACGCAGTGACGCGTGGTTCTGGCAGGCTCTACGGTTGACTGTGGAGCTTCAGGGGGGTTTGCCAACAGGTTGGCAATCTTGCTGGCTGTTGATTTGGCACGGGACATGATCAAAGGAATCCAAAAAGACTCTCATAAGGCCGACACCAAGTCTCTGTAAGGTACTGTAAGGCCTAAACCTCAAACCTCAGATTAGAAATTTAATCAAAGCAGATGCTTGACTCGAGAAGGTTGCCCCTGGTCCTGGCGCCGTTTTCGAACGCTGTTCGCCTTTTCACAAAAGTTTGGTATTATGGGAAGCTCCCGCTCAGCCGTGGGCATCTGGACAAAACAGGCCTTCTCCTCAAGTTGTTCTTCTTGACTCTCGAGCTGGGCCAGGCGAGCGCGAATGCGGCTCACTTCCTCGCGGGGGTTGGGATGGAGGGCTGGATTAAAGGCGTTTAGGCTTTCACGGAGGAAGCTTGACACATTGATGACCCTCGCGCGTTTGGGCATGCCTTTGGAGGCTCGGGGAGCTGCTGGCACCTGGAAGTGCCTATGCTATCTCTCTCACTTCCTGCAAGCTCGACTGGCCAGCTTCTTCGTTTCGGTCGCTGGTCAATTGAGCAGCCATGGTCGTCCTACCGTGGCCTACTGCCACCAAAGACCTCAGCACCTGAAAAGTCATGGACGGAAGCATGGCTCATCTTGCTGCATTCGCTCGTTAAAGCCCTGATAAGACAATTAATAGTAACAACCATAAGCATCACCCTGAAGCAGGGCAGCATACGGCCCTGTTGCCACCTCGCTTGGATGGACTCCTTCGAAGGCTCCTCCTGGTCTTGCGGCTTGAAGCTTCGGTGTCTAAGGAAACCCCAGGGCAGAGGAAGCCCCCAGGGGGCGACTGGAGGCTGGCGGCAGGGCCTAGGGTTTTCCGGAGGCTTCGGCCCCTAAGGCTGACCAAAGCAGCCACCGCTCACAAGTCCTAGATGCCAAAATTCCCAAAAAAAGCTCCGTTTTCCCAGCTCGTTTGAAGGAATCTCCCGGAAGCTCCTTCTGCCATTTCATCGGCCTGGACAGAAAAAGGCCACCGTCGGCTAGCTCTCCAGGGTTTCAGTTGAGGCAGTTTCTAAGCACTTACTCTTTGCGTCAGGAGGACCCTAAACCCCTAAACCCCTAAACCCTAAACCGACACCGTCATGTCCAGCCACACAGCTGCAGCACAGCTCATCCCACTGGGGTCTTCTCATTCTCCGTGGCGTTGACGCTACAGGAAAGAATCACGAGTTCTCGAGTTGAGAACCTCCAAGGCTGCGAACGCCTTGTAGAAGCAAGGGTACGGGAGGGCTACGAAAACAAATCTGGTCGACAAGGAAACTCGCAAAGACCCCCGAAAACACAAGTGCTCACATGAAAGATTGCACCCAAGAACCGGTGAGAAAACACGGAACCAACAATCAACGAACGCTGAAATAATGTGCTTGCCAACGCGGCACCGCGTACGGCTCGCGGTCGGCAGGATCATACCCATCATCCACATCGGGTACATATGCTTGCCTGCACACTGATGTGAGCATGCCTGACTTGCGTGAGTGTTGTCGTGAGGGATTTCAAGGCCTGGCGGGGCTCGGGGATGCTGGCATCTCGACCTGCGACGACAATTCGTCGATGCGCCTTTGGAGACGAAGCTTGCCCAAACCGGTCGCGCCTCTGCCGCATCAGACTCGGGCACTTCCTGCATGGGATGGAATGAATCGTCGGAAGTCTCTGGCGAAGTGCGCGAATGCATCTGCTTTCGGACATGATCTATTCGCCGTTAGCTGCTATGAATCATAACAAGCTAATGTTAGTCTTCGACACGACGCCACCCGCAGCGATGCAAATCTGAACA